ATCAAGAAGCAAAATAAGAAATAACACAGAAACACACTAAAAAACAACACCTTGACTTATAACAAAAAAGATAGAACAGCAAAAGCTACATATAACCAAAGACAAAAACAGAAATTAGAGTTTTTTGGCAATATAGTATAGAAACGAAAAGCAAAAGTTTTAACAAAAAGTTTAGTTTTTAGAAAAATTTTGGGAAATAACTGTGACCTTGTCATGCAGATCACTTAGGTTATACAAACACGAAACAAAACAAACAAAGCAAATAGAGGAACACATATACCAAATAGTATAGCAAATATACTCAGAGTATACAAAAGAAGAACCCAAACCATAGTAGGAGATATAGACCAATAGTTGAAGAACATAACATAGATGTTATAGATTATATTAGAGGAATAGGAGATAGAAATCATAGATATGTAGATTGCAAACTCTTGAACCAAGTTCTTAGAACACCAACAAAAGAACTAAGCAATATAGAGTGCATTGCAAAGGACCTAGCAATCTACGACCTGAAACATATTATACCATGTGACTTGCTAATATATGATCAGATATTGGAAGCCTTAAGATTAGCAGAATTAAGTTGGCTTAAAGAAGGAGTAATCGACAAGTAAGCAAAAAAGCTTAGGGCCATAAGCTACAACTCAAATTCATTTGAACATAACACAAGTATAAGTAAAGAGAAACTATATCAAAGAGAAAAAAGTACTGATAAGGTAAGAATTTTAGTTGAAACTAATGAAACAAAAGATATAATTAATAGGAAACAATAGCAAGAAAAAGAAAATAATTACAAAGATGTAGAACAAGAAGTAGAGATATTGAAAGAACAGATGAAAGAACTAAGCATTACTATATCACAACACCAAACAAGCCAAGCTTTCAGTAACATTGAATATGAAGAAGGAATCTTGACAGAAAATAATGAAATGAAATCAGAAAAAGAAAAGAAATAAAAAGAAGACTCAGAAGCATCAACAAATGACAGATATAAGAGTATAAAAAACATAGAAGTCATGAATATAGAAGCAATAGAATAGAAAGATGAACCGAACAGTAAAGAAGAAGAAGCTGTTTTTCTTATAAAAACAATTAAGTATAGCCAATAGTCTTCAGAAAACAGAATATGTGATAAAAACAAGTTATTCAAGGCAAATATGCCTACATACACATTGCCTGAGGAGACCAAAGAAGAAAGAATAAAGTATGTTTAGTGGATTTTAGAAACAAACCATCACATTAAAGCAATCAATGAAGTTTTTAAAAACAGAAACAATTGGGTAGAAGTAGATTTTGATTGTGAGCATAGTAAAGATATAGCAATAGACAGAATTAAGAGAAAAGAAGGAGAATAGCTTAAACTTATCTCAGAAAAGACCAAGAACAAGAGCCAAAAGATGGAACAGCAAGAAAGTTATAACACAAAAAAAAAAAAAGAGAAAAATACAAGACAAACAAAAATAAAGATGAACAATGTAATAGGAAAGTTATACAGTAAGAGTAGAGAGGAGAAAGAAGAAGAATATGAAAATGTGAATCAAACAAGAAAAAAAAGAAAAAATATAGGAAAATCTTAAATAGAAGAAGGTTTATGAACAAATAACTATCTAACAATTTAGGATTTACCAGCAAATATCAATATAGAAGAAATAGAACATATATATAAAAATATTAAAAATGCTAAAGTAGATCGAATCAAGTATTCCAAATACAAAACTTTAGTGATTGTATATGCCAAAGACATAAAAGAAGAAAACATTCTATAGGCTTTGTCAGTTGGTACTTATAAGTTAGCAAGAGTGTTCAAAAGCAATGAAGACTATAAATTACGAGATTAATATAGTCAGTTTACATCAAAGTTATTAAAGCTTCCTGGAAATACATCAGAAGTTTTATTATTGTGATACTTAAGAAAAAAAGATGCAAAGTCAGTATATATACCAATGAATAGAAATGGTAATCAAAGAAGGTCTGTGATAATTACTTTTGCATCAGAGGAAAAAATGGAAGCAATACAAATGAAACCAATAAGATTCAACAATTACTTACTTTTTTAGCAAGAAAAAGTAAGAGAAAAGAAATATAATAAGAAAAAAGTAGTTTATAAAAGATATACATCTACATACAATGCAGAAAAAAATTCAGATAACGAAGAACATAAGAATAAGAAAAGTGAAAAGAGAAAAGATGCAGAAGACAGCAAAAGAAACAAAGAAAAACATCGTATACATTCAACAGAAAAAGAAGAATATCAGATACAAAATCAAGACCTGTTGGAAAAAATATTTAAAAGACTGGAAAGATTAGAATTATAACAAAATAAACTCAAAAGGAAAACAGAAGAAGACCTAGTCAATTGCTCCTAAAGGCATCACAGTTGAATCAATGAGCATAGACAAGAAGATTGGGAACTTCTTGCGAAAGAAAAAAGAGATGTTTGAAGAAAAAAGAAAACTTAAGTATTTTTATCAAGAAGAAGAAATGCATAGCAAAAATAAAAAGAAGCTAGATAATGCAAAGGCAAGACCAAGACTGTTAAAAGAAAAGTAGAAAGAAAGGAAAAAGGAGATAAAAATAGCATGTCACAATATCAATGAACTCAAGACCAAAGGTTGGAAATTGAAGAATCTGCTTGGCTGGATAGAAGATAAGGAAATTGTAATATTAGGAATTATAGAAACAAATCTTATAGAAAGAGAAGAAAGTTTTTTAACATTTGTTATAAACAGAAAGTATGTAGAATACTAGACAAATGTAGCAGAAGACAAGAAAAAAGGATCAGGTTTGGGAATTCTGATAGAAGAACAATAAAAAAAACATGTAGGAATAGTTAAAAAGATAAGCAAATACATAATAGAGATCACATTATACTTCAAACAATTGGAATTAGTTGTGATAAGGGTTTATATACTACCAAATAATAAGAAATTAGAGAAAAACATTCAACAGAAAATTATAGAAACAGTTATTAGACGAAAAAGATGAATACAAATTATGATTATGGAAAACTTTAACTATATAGCGAACAATATACTAGACAGACAACAATTACAATTAGCAAGCTTCAAAAGACTACTAATTTTTAATTAGATAAAAAAACAAAATTTTACAAGTCAAAAATACATATGATCAAATAAAGAAGCAGCAATGAGAATTGACTATATATGAGTATCAGAAGAATTGGCCTCGGGTTTACAAAGAGCAAACATTGAAGAACCAGAAGAAATCACAGAAAATGATCATAAGATAGTCATAGCAAAAATATAGATTTAACACATGATAGGAAAAAATAGTAATGCAGAGATTAAAAGAAAAAGTCAAACAAGAACTTTATATTTATATGACTAAGCAAAAGTAGAAGATTGGGAAAATTACATACAAGAGCTGCAAAAATGTTTAGAAATAAAAGAAACTTTAAAGAATATTCAAAAGAAGAAGCAAGATGAAGAGAAGTGTCAAAGCCAAATAAACAGTATATGCGATACAATAGAAGAAGCAATTATCACAGTAGCAAATAAGCATATACTGAAAAAAAAAATTTATAACACAACAGCAAATAGAAGAACAAGTCAGAAAGAACAGCAGCCAAGAAAAGATATCGTAAATATTCAAAGATTATTTAAGTATGCAAAGAAGCAAAAAAACTAAGAAGTAACAGAAGAAGAAAGAAGCAAAACAAATGAATAAGTTAAAACACTAGACAAGAAGTTAGGTACAAGACTGTCAAAATTACAAAAACAATGATCTAGTGCATGGATAAAAGACATGAAAAGATGACAAAAACTTCTACAAGAGAAAAAGAGAAAGAAATAGGAACAAGTACAAAGAAGACAAATAGAAGAAAACATAGATAAGAGATATGAAATGATTAAAACAGATCAAAGGAAAATGATAACCAGCCTCCTAAATAGACCATACAAAAAGATAATATTGGACAGACTTATTAAACAAGTGAGAGAAGAGACACATTTAATAATGAAATCAGAAGAGGTTAAGATGAATGTAATAGAACATTACAAGATGTAGTTTAGAAAAAGAAACACTAAATTAGAAATGATGACAGAAAAGTGAGAGGAGATGTACAAACCAAGAGAAAACATTAAAGAGGATTAATATGCAGAAGTTGAAGGAAGAATCAAAGAGAAAGAATGAGAGAAGGTACTAAGAGAGTTAAAGACAGGAACAGCTCTGGGTATCTCAGGTATAAACTATATATTGATTAAAAGAGCAGAAAAGAAGACACAAGAAGTGTTTAAAAGCTTTGCAGACTTATGCTTAGAAAAGAGAGAAATTCCAATAAAGTGAAAAATAGCGCAGGTTTACCCGATACCAAAAGATGTAGAGTGGGAATATAGTTTAAATAATATTCGTCCAATACAAGCAAGATTTTGATTTGGGCCAGTAAGATTTAACAATTAACGAATTGATCATAAGTATAGCAATTATTTTTTGTTTAATCAATTTCTTTCTTCGTACATTTGAATTCATTGCGACTTAAATTCCTATTAATGAGCGTTGTCGCTTATTAATCCGGCAATTAAATACTAATAATGTTTACACTATTACTAAAAGTTGGAATATAAATATGGGTATCCATATATATATAATTAATAAAAATTATGTCGCTTCACAAACAAAAAACTACTTTTGCCTTCCGAAACGTAATTTTAATATCCTCTCATTTAATAAAATGTCATTTCATAAATGGTACCCGAGCACTAGTTAAAATATATATTGGCATATTCTTCATACTCGCACGGTACTAATACTAAATAGCATTATTAAGTGATTTTTTTTTAATCAATAACGATAATAATTATTAATTACGTATTAATAATGCGGAAGGTCGGAACATCCGCTAATTCCGTAATTCAGTAATTTGACGTTTTATGATCGACTACTTGCATAATGTGCGATCCGTGTGGCTGAGCCCAAATCAAAATTAAATTATCTCTTTGCTGATAACCTTAATTCGTCCATATTCTTTGGTGGAGAAAATGTTAAAGGAAGTTCAAATAGTTACTGCAGAAGGTGAAGAAGTGGAAGAGGTTACAATAGAAAATCCTACTACTGTAAATGAAGTTGCTGTAAAAAAAAAGAAGAAAAAGAAAAAGAAGCCTGCGGGTACTGCGGGTGAAAATACAGAGTTAGATTCCACTGCTGCAGGTATTGAATTTTACCAGATCATATATTATTCTTAATTAATAAACTTTGAATTTATAATTCAAAGATAACACCCTATAAATTTCTGTCTTTAAATAAGTGAAGGAAGAGTCCGTTCCAGAAAAGGAGGATCTTCCACATAATAACGGAAAAATAAAGGACGAAGACGAAAATGACGAGGAAGAAGAGGAAGGTGAAGGTGAAGCTACAGTAGGAGAAAGTAAATATCGTTTCTGGAGACGGACTTTTTTTTACAGATAGAAATTTGCACTTGATCTAATAATATAATATATATAGCTCCAAAAAAAAAGAAAAAAAAGAAAAAGCCAAAAAAGAAATCAACAACAACTAATGTTATAGAAACAGTTGAATCCAAAATAATTCAGCAAACAGAACCGCCTTCAATTCCTGTCAGTAAATTTTTTCCAGATGCCAAATATCCTGAAGGAGAAATATGTGAATACAAAAATGAGTGAGCTATATTTAAGATTGCTAAAATTACTATTATTGCAAGATTGCAAGATTGCAAGATTGCTAAGATTGCATAATGATGACAAAACATTCTGGTCGAATCATATTGAGTTGACATTGTTATTTATATTTTTATCAGTAACTTGAACAGGATGACAAACGAAGAAAAGCGTTACCTTGACAGGATGCGTTACGATGATTATAATGACCTTCGTCGTGCAGCTGAAGTACACAGACAGGTATATTTCAACTTTCAAACCAAAAAAAAAAAAAAAAAAAGATAATAATAGTTGGGTTTATAGGTACGGAAATATGCACAAAAAGCTATAAAGCCTGGTATGACGATGATCGAAATATGTGAAATGATTGAAAATGGCACACGTACATTGGTAGAAGAAAATGGTCTAGAAGCTGGTAACTATGTTTATTTTTCTCACTTTTAGATAGATAATTATATAATGTATTAGAATATCGTTTGCTACACTCTGTGGTCATTCTTATAAGTTAATTCTTATGAATCAATGAATGATTACAATTTTTGTGCAAACAAGATTAAATTTCTCAAAACCTCCTCTAGTCTCGAATATATATATTTTTTTCATGAATCGATTAGTCTATCGTTATGAGATACATTTTAATTTAATTTTGTCGGAAATTACTAATGCTATAGGAATCGGTTTCCCAACTGGTTGTTCCTTAAACAATTGTGCGGCTCATTACACACCGAACTCTGGCGACCCAACAGTCCTTCAATATGATGATGTATGCAAAATTGATTTTGGAACCCACGTCAATGGTAATGTTTATACTAACTTTTATACTGATTAATATTTGATTATATTATTTTTATATTATTTGTTTATTAAATTAATTAATGGTTTATATTGAAATTTACAGGTCGTATCGTTGATTGTGCATTCACACTTACTTTTAACCCTGTTTATGACCCCCTCAAAGCAGCAGTTAAAGATGCTACTAATACTGGTGTTCGGGTATATTATTACCAGATATTTTCAATTAGTCTTTTAGAAAAAAACAGCTAAAGTATATTATTATTGTTAATAGGAAGCAGGTATTGATGTGAGACTAAATGATATCGGCGCTGCTATTCAAGAAGGTAATTTAGCATGTTTCTGTTATAAGCTATATGTTTATATATTTAATTATTGCAATTGTCTATGTCAATTATTAGTTATGGAGAGTTACGAGGTCGAAATTAATCAAAAAACATATCAAGGTATTTTTATTTTATTAATTAAATTATTTTTACAAATTGGTTGTTTTTTTTTTTTTTGTATTAAAGCTCTCAAAACATTTATAAATATTTATGAAGTAAAACCGATTCGTAATTTGAACGGACATTCGATACTTCCGTACCAAATTCACGCCGGGAAATCTGTACCAATTGTCAAAGGCAGTGCAACAGGAATAAAAATGGAGGCAAGTACTAAAAGTTTACGTGGTTTAAGTTTTATTAAGGCTAAGGTCATAAAAATAACAGACATATATATTAATATATAGGAAGGTGAATATTTTGCTATTGAAACCTTTGGAAGTACGGGGAAGGGTTACGTTCGTGAAGATGGTGAATGTAGCCATTATGCAAAACGTCATGATGTCGATCAAGTTACGTTACGGTAAGATTAGTTTATTTCATAAACTCTTAATATCATTAATTACTTCGTTCTACAAAAACCGAAATGACCTAGCTTTTATATATAGTATAAAGAAAGCCAAATCTCTTTTAAACAGCATTACCAAACATTTTGGCACATTGCCATTTTGCCGTCGATATCTTGACCGTGTAGGAGAAACTAAATATGCGTTAGCGTTAAAACATTTAGTTGATTCTAATGTAGTAGAGTCTTATCCACCATTAGTTGATATAAAAGGTTCATACACGGCACAATTTGAACACACTATAATTCTAAGGCCGACCTGCAAAGAAGTAAGTTCCTTCTTAAATATGTAAATATGTATATGTTGCATTTATACTTTTTGATTACGCTAATTTATTAAATCTCAAAATTTAGGTCGTTAGTAGAGGCGATGATTATTAGCTTGGAATGTGATATTAAAATATTTATTATAAAACTATGATTCTTGCAATTTTGGTCATCATATAGGTGTTACAAAAACGTTAATGTACTTAAAAATTGATTTAAGAGAATCACTATTATTTGGTATAATGGCTAAATGCAAATATTTCCATGTAATAAGTAATAGTAATGGTTCTTTGATCTAGTTTTCAACTTTGTATAATATATACATATATATGTTTTATTGAATTTTTTTTTTTTTTGCGATCCAGAAAATATAAATCGATATTTCCCACATTTTAATAAAAAAAAAAAACATAATACAACTTAAAATAGTACGAGTAATGACTTATTCTAGTATTTTGTATTTATTTCCTTTGTGCCTGCTAAGAAAACTATAGCCTTTACCATTACCCATCTGATTATAATCAATAAATTTGTCCAAATACATACAACTGTGAAGGTCACATTCAATGAACAAATTGCGATTTGTCCTCAATATATTTTAAGATTAAAAATGGTTTAATGGTTTTTAATACGTATACGTGCGTAGAAATTATGACAAATTTTCCAAAAATATTTCATTCTTGATTTTTGATACGTGTGATATGTACAGTACGTATAAGGTTGATGCCAAAATATATCAAAATACTAAAATACTTTAGGTAATTTGATGATGCCGAAATATTTTAGGAATTGATGCCCAAGATACTTTAGACTAAAATATTTTAAACTAAAATATTCAATATCGCCAAAATATTTTAGGCAATTTAATATTGCCAAATATTTTAGGCAATTTGATATTGCCAAATATTTTAGGCAATTTGATATGCCAAAAGATTTTAGCCAATTTAATATGCCAAAATATTTTAGGCAATTTAGTATGCCAAAATATTTTAAGCAATTTGATATGCCAAAAGATTTTAGGCAATTAAATATATATGCCAAAATATATACTTTATGTAATTTGATATGCTGAAACACTTTAAGTAATTGATACCTAATATATACTTTCGGGTAAACCCATAATAATTTCTACGCATATCATGTATAGTAAGGTATTTAATACAATCAACTTTATATCAATGGTAGTACCCCGAACGGATCAACCGTTTATGACGTATAAGCCATTACCTATATAAGTAAAATTATTATTTAGCTGATCATTCGGGTCAACCCGTTTGAAATACTAATCGTGATATTTCACCATTCAATAATCAGGGTCGGAATCGGATAATGTTCGTAATAAGCGGATAAATGTCGTACCGTTCGATCCGAGAGTTGAAGGTACAGTTAAGTACGTACGTACTGTATAAAAATTAGTTGATATTATCGGAGGAAAATTGCTGAGATTACTGGATTTAATTCTCTCTTTATATTTTCGATCGGATACGTTCGTATTTCTTTGAAATTGATAACGATAAAATTTTTTAAAATTGATAGAATTTCCGATTCTCACTTAACATCGTGATCTACAGGGACCACATCCCTGCTAAACGCAATTATTATTAATGATGAAATATTACAATACAGTACCTACTTTATATACGTATAATAATTCCCTTAAGTCAAAATTCCTTAATCCTAACACAGGTCTAATTAATAAGTACCGGGTAAAATATCAGACACAAACACCTTGATATGCTATTGATATTCCAAATATTTGTAATATCGGTATATCAATAGTATATAACGTTAGTATCGTATCGGATAAATGTTCTACCGATATCGATATACATTTACTAATTTCCCCTAACCATTGGCGACAGTTGTTTTTGATCGTTACGTTACACCTGACTTGCTCTCTGCATGTCGATGTGTTTTTTATTACTGTATTATGTAAAAGCCTTCATGTGATTTACGTAGAGAATTTGTGATATTTATTTAGTTCCTGATATTTTACCATTATAAGCCATACTGCTGATTATAAATATTTGGTGGTTCTATAGGGCATATCGGGTGCTTTTTATTTACCTGCATTTACCCGATTCTTACTCATTCTTGAAAATAAAAACACTATTACTGTATTACTGTATTAAAATAAGCTGGAATGGTAAAACAATCTTACTACTATTGAACCAATAGCAGTAAGATTGTTATCATTCCAACGTTTTTATTTTCGAAATACTTAGAACTAAGGAATTTCGACTTAAGGCAAAGTTGGTATTGTGACAAATTGTGATATTTCACCATTTAATAATTAGAATCAGATAATTTTTTTTACAGTACATACCTACAGTACGTACGGTACCAAATTATCCGATTCCGATTATCTTGTCAAAATACCTATTTCGTCTTAATAATTTGAATGATTTGAATTCTTATTAGTCATAATAATTTGATCTCTTATTATTAAATATATCTTAGAAACAAGCGATCAGGATCAGAATTAAATAAGGTTGGCATCGTTCAATTGATCTCAATAAGATAAATCGAGTGACATAAAAATTGATTCTAATAAATAAGATTAGTTCATCTTAATGTCTAAAGATTTTATAATATACGTAATTTTAAAAATGAACGTATCTCACTACATATTGGTCGAAATCGAATGAATTGGTGCCATACGATTCATCTTATTGAGACAAATTAAATGATACTAAAATTGCTACAGTATTTAATTCTAATTGATGAATAAAAAGTTATTAACTATAATGCTTAACTACGTCAGTCTCCCTTAAGGCGGCATCCATAATTTATGTTAAACCAGACCAGTATTATATTGTATAAAAATAGGAATTTTGAAGGTAAAGACATATAGTATTATTTTTGTATTATCTTTAAATCCCCATAACTATACTAATGTAAATTATGGATGCCGCCTTGTCTGTTATGTTAAACAATAGAAAAATTTTACCAATACACCTAAAACTCGGTTAAACAAAGTGAAATCGCAATGATTCTCCAAAATACGTAGTACGTATCCTTTCCCCTTCATTGCTTTAATTTAAATCACCCCATTATTTGTTCATATCCCTTTACACCAATAAAATTTTTCTACCTAACGTTAAAAGTTGATCTTCGATTTACTTTCCAATTTTATAATACAACGTTTCTTTTTAGTGATTCATAGTTCGCTTTTTCAACCCATCTTATGAGTAGTGTTCCATGAAAAACTCGGATCAGATTTCAAAATTTGACTTCACATGCTTGCACATGCATGCACAGTGCATGTAAATTTTTTCATGTACAAGAGAAATAATTTTGTGCATGAAAATTTTAATACATGGTAAGTTAGGGCCGACGATTTTCCGCGGTGATATTGTGATATTAGGAGAGAGTGATACCCGCGCTGTAATTAGTAAAACACATTATTATGGATGTTAGTAGAGTTTAGGGCACAGGGGCATGCCCTTGTCATGTGATGTTTAAAGTTATTTTAATTGGCTAATAAGTTCAGATAAACTAGAACCATAGATACTAAATCAAATCAACATGTAAGATTTTTAAGAAGTTGTGAACTATGTGTTAATCACATGATTTAAAAAGGGCATGCCCAATTTTTTTCCCATGGCCTGAACCCTAGATATTAGGGTCGTCCTGGTCCAGTCTTGGTTCAAAAGACCGGTCCAGGCAGCAGACCACGAACTGAACCAAGGTCCATGAACTGGTTCACTAAACCGTTTGGTTAGGTTTAGTTCGGGACCAGACTCCACCTTCAACCAATAAGATTGCGTTATTTAAGCGATCATCTTTTTTAATTTCACCGTGGCAGAGTTTATTTTGTAAAAAAAAACTTTAAAATGTATATAGGGATGTAAAATTTCAGTAATTTTATGTGTAATTTTACGTAATTTTGCATAAGATTCAGTAAATTGAAATTTCATATAATTGTAATTTTGAACACATGACATTTGGTTTTTAAGATCAAAATTTTGGGATGTACGATTCAAATCAAATGATGCAATAATACTGGCCGAAACTTTTGTAAATCTGGTACATTATGTATGACGTATGGAAATTACATGAAATTTGATTTTCTGAAACTTAAGTAACTTAAAATTGTAATTTATGTAGCACAACCTTATATTTCTCGAAATAATTAAGACTAGCAGTACCAGTCTAAAAAATTTCGCGAAGAAAAAACATTTCGCTATTAGATTAAGGTTAGGGTATTACCAGTAAGGTAGGTTTAGAGGATCATGGTTATACCAAAATTTTGCAAGGAAACCTTTTTGTTAGTACGCAGAAGGCAGTTTCATAAGAAAAATTTTGAGTTATGAATTTTTTTCATTTTTCACGTTACATCTGATCTCGAAATTTTATTGGTTGTTTCGTTATTTCACGTGATCTGCGGAATTTTTTTGGCTGACATTTTAGATGCTGTTCTCGAAATAACGCCCCGGGGTGTAGGTTAAAATTTTGGCCAGAATTAAGCTTAATTCTGGCCAAAATTTTAACCTACACCCCGAAGCGTTATTTCGAAACAATACGGTATACATTATACATATATAATTAGCAGTTTAGATTTTTGAAAAAAACTGCATTTAGATAGTAAAGTTGTCTTTTCGAAGTAGGAAGTATAATTGTAAAAAGCTACTATAAAAGTTAGACAAGTATACTGCCCATGCAGTAGAGGTCTGCATTGGGTCTCACAGCCCATCCTGGCTTAGCCTACAAATTTTTATAGACTGGACTGGGCCTGAAGCAAAATTTTATAATTGCAGTTTGGGTTGTATTAGGCAGGATCAGGCTAAAGAAAAAATTTAATATATGCAAATTAGCAAAAAAATTTTAACTCTAAATGCAGGCTAGATCTTGTCAGGTTAGGTCAAGCTGAAGAAAAAATTTAATATATGCAGGTTAGTAAAAAATTTTAACTCTAAATATGGATTGGATCAAGCCTCAAAAATAAGTAATTTGCAAACCTCTATCATGCAATATACTTCTTATTAGTTTGAAACATCTGATTATAATTTATATTTAGATATTATATATATCTTTTAATTATTTTTTTTTTTGAAGATTAAGCTAACCTCTTTTTATTTAGTAAATTAGAACATAAAAACTTGTAGTTGAAG